ATGATCTCTCTACCCTACACAGCACACAAACACTTTATTTCTTTCATCTTCTTTCTCAAATTCCGGTGGCTAACTTTATCATCGGAGTGTCTCTGGCCAGCAACCCCAGTTGGGTGGCGCTGACTATGTTTATCCTTGTAGATGACGGTAGCCAAGCTCATCTCTTCGTTGGAGCTCATCAACATCCACGTGAAAGGATTTTTCGGGTCTCACAATTGGCATCGTCTGTGGAAAGATCAACGAAGAAGATGATAAATACACACCGTTTGCTTTTGCTCTCATCTACTGCAAGTTTATTTATATTTTAATGTGATTTGCATCATTATAATTACAGCTTTACTTTTCCTTGCTTTTTCATGTCAAGCTTGCTTTCCATTTCAAGACTCTATGTGCTATGGATTTTATAACCAGATACAGAGAAAGAAATTCAAAGGGCCATTACTTTGTTTTCTCTCTCTCACAGTTGACTCATTTTTATAGTCTTTGCATATAAATTTATTTATCAACTTGATCCATGTGGCAACCTTTTGTTTTAGATGCTCATTTTAGTTTGTCAAGAAATATTGCAGCAACCATTTTGGCAACTCGGTAATAAACTTTAACAACTAAAGAAGTCAGCGAGCCAATTGCCTACTTGCCAATCGGCAACCAAAAAAGTCAGCAAGCCAATTGCCGACTTGTTGATCAAGAGGCCGATTGATACCAAGTATAATCGTCAATCCGTATTACAAGTATAATATTATTAACATAGAGTCTGTTCTGCCAAACATTACATTTTTAGCAACAGTGACATGCAAATACAACAATTACTTGTGGGGCCGAACAACCTAATAGCAGCGCTGCATGCCCCTTCTCAACACCTAGCATCAATAAAGTGTTAGTCGGCTCCTTATTGAGTTGCCGATCAATTTCTTCACAACCATATCTCTTGAAAATAAATAAATAAATAAATAATATTAATAGTTTTGCCGACCTAAAAATTAATCACCATATTTGCATGCATTTATATGTCTGTCACATACAAGTCTTCATGACCTGTTTGGCTTAAGAACTAAATGTTATAGTGAGCCTCTGGCTGGATCTCCACTTCTATGTCTTGGTATATCTTAATTAGATTAAACTTTATTATTTGGCACCATAGTAAAGGACGACTTCAAGAGTTACATTATTTTTATCTAATTTCAACTTGCTGTTTACCACAATTATTAATTGAATATGTTTTCCTCAACATCAACAAAACTTATTCTAAGAACTTGGGCAATTATTACTGTAGTATAATTTAAAAGACCTCCTAGCACTCGGGCATTTCTCTCATCTAACAGGTGCACTCAGCAAAGCCAGAAGTTACCAAGCATTACCACCCAGACTCTCGGCAAAGACAAAACTACAAGAACAAGCCAACCAAATGCTCCAGTAAGAACGAGCCAAAATAAATTGCCAACCATTGCCAGCCAAGTTCTTAGCAAATCCAAATTCGAAGGGGTGTCGACACACCGCGAAGCTAAGAAAAATCGCCGATCAGAAGATCGGCACAATCACCGCCATAAGTGTTGCTGACCAACTTCTCGGCAAAGTCACATTATATATGAAATGGACACCGATGTTTTGACACTAGTTACTCAGCACACCACTCAAGTCCCTCTATTTTCCATAGACATAGTTGGGTTCACTCATAGGTTTTTCTGCAAAGGTTGTTAGGCAATCCACCAAGGCTATACGACAACCCAACATGGCTGATTCGGGAGTTTTACGTTTATATCCGACGTTCGAGCCAACTCATAGCAAATTGCTCGGCACAACTACAGAGTTATTCGGCCGAACTATGACCCCGAGCTCCATTCTTTGGCAATGAAAAACGGCCTCGATTATGCGTCGCCGAGTGCAAAGCCAAGAACGCGGACCACCAAGCTCTTTTGCCATATACATTTCCCTATCTAACACATTCTTCCAACGACTACATTTGTGCCGAGCACAAAGCTCAAGTGCGTTTACCATTATTAATTCATCAACATTATTAGGCTTCGGCAATTTATTCGGCAACACATTATACCACAACATTGCTCAACTCTGCAATTTGGCTTTTCATTCCGTATATTATCAACTCGGCTTCATTATTCGGCTTTGGAAGCTTTATTCGACGCGTATATTTTATCCATTGCATACACAATCTTGCTTGGCACTAATATGTCGGCAAAATACTAGCATCTTGGCTTGCCGAAATCCACATCTGAAAATACTAGTAGATTCGTGTCAATTCAAGGAGTCCAAACCCACCAACCCAAGGAGCCAAGAACTAACCAAAGGTCACCGGTAGTTGCAAAACGGGCCAAATTTTCAAAAAATTAAAATTTTCAAAATTGTCGAAATCAAGTTCTAACCATACCAGCGTGAAGTCCTCATTGAGACGAGTCTAACGCCACAAACTGTGTCAAAATCAGAGCTAAAACAAAGCCATACAGCCAAATCAAAGTTTGCGTAGAAAGTGAACTGGTTCACTGGAGAAGACGACCAGCCAACCATAGAGGAATTATCTTGTGCTTCGTGGTTGAATTACTCCCTGCTGATCTGAGCTCTCAATTCTATTTTGGCTATAACTACGTCATCAGAAGTCCGATTATAGCGATCTCATTGTCATTTCCAACTATTTGGACCCTTCTGAACACATCCGTACGGTTCAATTCTACAAATTTTGAGTTGCATATCGAGCTCCATACATTGGCCAATCAAGAACATTAAATGCAAAATCAACGGTCACATCATACCCGATCGGCATGCACTTTCAGTAGCAGGATCTTGGGGCTAGGAAATAATCCTTTGTCTTCCCTGATCATTCATTTCGTTACCTTGGTCATTTATTGCCAACTGGGACATCTTAGTCAATTTTTCGCTTTCCAATCGGGGCACATCAGCCAATCATCATCTCGGCACCTCTGATATGCACGTATACTCGGCCAACTTGGTACAAATATTACAATGAAATTTACTTGAGTTACAAACTCCTACTCCTTTTCACACCGCTTCAAGCAAGTACCAGTTTTGGGGCAATACATTACACACTTGGCAGCCGACCGCTAGCACTTGGCAGTCAGCAGTTCGCATATTTTTGCGCGTCGTCATTTTACCAAAGCTGAATCTTTCCCGCAACACAGGGCAATGTGGCAAGTCCAAGTTGCATTCCTTCTGACTAACACTTATCATTCAAAAGCAATGGAGCAAGTCTACATTGGACTAAACACAAACCGAGCAATGCTAATTGGCCCAAATTTTACTCAGCAATTTAATAGTTGGCCCAATATCTACTTGGCAATTCCTTACAAGCGGAGCAATATTATTGGTAATTAACATGTCTTTCTCATTCGGTACAGGCCATCACTGACAGGATGCATTATTCAAAATCCTTGCAATATTGGCACTTGATTGCCACTTAAAATCAGCAAAAGTCTCCGAGTATAGCGTAATCTTTGCACTCGACACGGAGTGCCATCAGCAAAGGCCTACACCCATGCCCGAGGGTTAGAATACCGCAGCCTACACCTACACATGGAGGTTAGAATACCGCGGCCTACACCTATGTCCGGAGGTTAGAATACCGCAGCTTACACCCTCATCCGGGGGTTATAACATCGCAGGTTTGCACTTTTGCCCGAGGGTAATAATATCGTGATCCATTTTTTTGGCTAATATGTCTACTTTATTTAATTTATATTATTTGGTTTAGGAAATCATTTCCGTGCTTGGCACATAGAAATATCTCTAGCTCGGCACGAAAGTTCATATCTTGAAGCGCTCTTCGCACTCGGCAATATACTATACCCTCGCCCGGGGGTCATAATACCGCGGCCTACAACTCTTGCCCGAGGGTAACAATATCGTGGCTCATCGTTATGATTTGTTTAGAACTCATGTGATATAATTTCGTACTATGATCACCATCATTTATTTAATCTCTCTCCCTTATATACATATATTTGTACATGCATTCATACAATCATTCATTCATTTATCAAAAGACCTAACATTTATTTGAACAGGGTAACTCGGCAAGAAAAACTCTCATGCCTTCTACTGCAGACAATGAAAGTTTTAGGAAAATTGTGGGAGCTAGAAAAAATATATATATTAGCTTATTGGGACTAACCCAAACAAGGCCCACAATGGGTCTAACCCAAACAAATATCAGGCCCCTCCATCTATATAAAGAGGGGGGGCATCCCAGAGAAGAGGTAGATGATCTCTCTGCCCCACACAGCACACAAACACTTTATTTCCTTCATATTCTTTCTCTAATTCTAGTGGCTAGCTTTATCATCAGAGTGTCTCCAGTCGACAATCCTGGTTAGGTAGCGCCGACTATGTTTATACTTGCAGATGATAGTAGCCAAGCTCATCTCTTCGTTGGAGCTCATCAATATCCATGTGAGAGGATTTTTCGGGTCTCACACTAGTTGAGTTTAAACCTGATTTGTATTTTCTTTTCAGTACCTGTTTGATAACTGTCTTAGTATATTTGTGGATCTAGGTCTTGGTTGAAATTGGATTGGTATGAGGTTTCAAAACAGTTCATTATACTGTTATTATTATTATAGTTGTTGCGTCATGGACTATTCTATTTAAAGTTGTTAGATCATATTACATTACTTTTGCCTTTGATTTCATGAGACCCCTGCTCAACAATTTTTTGAATTTTAATCATTTTTGTTTTTAGGTTTTAAATTCAGGAAAATTTATGGACACATCCCGTTATAGGTTTCTATAAGAGTTCTAATCCATAAAAGGTTGGCTTGTTAGTTGAGGGCCTTAAGCTTTCAAATTCTGTAAGGATAAGAAAAATTATGATATAATTGTCAAAAATAACCTTTCAACCTAGACTAAGAAAAAAAAAAATCATGTAGCCCACCAAGTAACTAGAGAATGAGTTGAGTATCTATATCCGACGTTTTCCATCACTCAAGTAACATAGGCAAATAAAACTATAGCACAGTAAAAACACTCTCACCACAGACAAAGAAAAAGAATGCATTTGAGACAATTTCAATTAAACAAAAATGCTTCCATTCAAAATGAAGATATGGTATGAAACCCAACCGGCCTTGTACAGCCTCAAACTTCGAGCTTTAGTCAATGTCCACCACAGCTAAAAACATCTACACCACTGAGCCATGACATTCACAAGCTACCAGGTTGTACATACATCAAGTGAAAAACTCGTCCTGCCCTACAACTGCACACGATGTCCGGTTGGGCAGCGCTTACTAGTCATACATTTTGCATTTTCTGAATGAAATCTCTTGCTTACGGAGAACCACTCTCTCGGCTCATCAACAGTCTCTCAGTTCTTCTCTGACTAAGTTTTTTCATTGCCACAATCCTCCTTACAGAGAACCACTTCAGCACACTGAATAGCTTCGTCCATCTCATCTGAGCAAAAGCAGCAGAACGAGCCAATAGAAAGCCATTGACAGCATTGCACAGATCAGACTGCGAGGCCAAATCCGAATTCTGAGACCGAAGAGGACAATCAGCATCAAAATACTGCAGGTGTTCATCGTCATCAAAAACTTGGGTTATGGATTCAGTTTCACAGATTAGGGAGTTCGCGAAAGGTTGGTCATGGTCGTATGTAAGATCCATACTGTCAATGTTATGCAAGCCAAAATCATCCAAGCTATTCACACCCGCCATAGAATAAATGGATGGTATGATATCAGGAGAACATGCACTTGCTTGTGGATAATCGAACCCACCAATCTTATTTCCACCAGAAGTCTCCACCATGGTCGAATCGGAGTAGAGAACGTTATTGAACAAGCACGATGAAGCGTTCATGAGAGAGGCCTCATCTTCAAAACAGACTACATGCTCCCACTGCTTAAATGCGGCGATTACCAAGTTATTGGTTTCGGCCTGGATAAAGAGAGAAAAGAAGCATATAAAAAAATTACAATAAATCGGGAAAAAAAATAATACAAAGAGAAATAAAAAGAGGAAAGAAAATGCCTTTTCCGTCTCGGAGAGCTTATCAACATGAGTATATTGGCATTCTGAAAGTAGTCCCATAACTTGTCCCACAACATTGAAAACCACACCAGCTTTCGGCTCAGATTGAGGAGGACAGTAGAAGTACAACCTAGAATCGAGTGTGCATGTCCCAGCATGGTCTATGGTAAGTTCCCACATTTTAGCAGACATACCCGTGCCAAGGATCTTACAAAAATGCAAAAGAAACAAATGTTATTAGAAGTTCACGTTTCAAGGTAGAGTGAAATAGTTTATCTTTTCGTAGACATGAACTTATTAAAACCAAGGCTCCTTCTAAAGCACTAATTTGAACTACTTTTCCTTCTTATGCGTGGACACGGGGTTTCCACTAAAGCAACCTCAAAACCCTCGAATTTGTAACTTTGAAGTTTCCGACAAACAAATTTCATTATCAAGCTTCAATGCTATTAATAATTGCCAAAGGTTAATTTAATTGCAGCAGAATAAAAAAGGGAAATGACAGAATGTATTACATTTCTAAGCCTCATAGGATCTAAATAGAGCAGAGTCAAAAAATCCTTCACAGTGTTGACTTTCTCCCTACTCAAACGCTTGTGGAAAGCTCCGTCTTTGCCAATTTTTTCCAGCCGCCATACTTCATCAAGCAGAGATGGGGGATGATGCTTCTTGTACACTGAAAAAAGAAAAACTTGAGTTACAGTTATGTCCATTTTGTCAACTCACACACGTTGACAATTTACTCCCAAGTGGTCTCAACTAAACAGAGTTAAGACAGTTATTTTTTTGGTATCACATTGTAGTGTAAGCCACCAAAAGCTATTATAAATTGGCTGATACATGTATCAGAAAAAAAACTAATACCACTGACAAAGAAAATAAAAAAAAAATAATAAAGTACTTACATTCTCCACGGTGATCCCTGACAATAAAGGATTCAGTCATTGCCTCGCTTACTCTGATTCCATCAAAATTATCCACTACCCTTGCTCCCAGCCTAAATTTACGGCTCCTTGTCCAGCTTGAATTATCTGTAAACGAAATCTCCCCAACAAAACCAATTCCTTCTTTCAGATTTAAAAATGCATCCCCAGTTAGGAGGGGTTTCTTCCCTTCCCTTTCTCTAACAATGTTATTCTTAAACTCTTCAAGTGTACAATTGCCGCCTTCATCACCATCGAAATCTCCTTCAAGAACTACTATTTCCACCTTTGCTGAGGATTCAGGGCCAGAGTAAACAACTTGCCCAGTAAGAGAATCAATTAAGGCCACTTTTATGGTGTGACAATCTTCTCCTTCAATACGAGTTCCAGTGAATACAGGAAGAGAGATTTTGGGCAGGAACTGTAATTGTAAGCTTCTTGATTCAGAAGTTCGTATCTCTTTCCCGCAATTCCTAAACAAGAAGAGGAATGATGCATCAAAAAGACAGTGACAAAGGTGATCAACTTAGCTACCTTATGAAGCATATTGTAGCAGCTAACAACTCACCGCTTTATGCTGGTCACATACTTTCTTAGAGCTAATTCAACTTCTTCTTTTACCTGTCAACCCACATCAACACAAGTGATTTATAAATAATCAATCAACTGTATCATGTCATCCAATAGAAAACAAGGTAAGACACACACACAGAGATCACAGGGTGCAGGATAAAAAATGTTGCTGCTCATATAATACTTAGTTGTGTCAACATGTAAACTTGACATAATGATGGCCCAATACTAAGCATACAATCAATGACTCCAAGCATACTTGACCAATTTTATGGGGGATATTGGCAATCCAACAAATAGCATATGGGTTTGTATTATGGTTCTTTTAGTGCTCTTTTCTTTTAACTTAGTTTGTGTGACACTTGTAGTTGTATGGCAATGCAACATTTTCAGTCCTGGAGCATTTGTCAGAAAGCAAACAAAACTCCTCACAATTCAGTAGTTACCTGCCCTGATGAACTGTTGAATTCTCATAACATGTAAACAGAAAGCAACACTAGGATAGGAACCTTCTCTAACACTTCTTGACAAATCCCACATTCTCATTCAAATACAACTCTTTGACAAAATAATTTCCTCATGAAAATAAGGATTATAAACTAAAATTTTCCCTAGAAAGAAAGATGTTGAACAGAATTCTTCAAAATCCAGTGGTTCCCAAATCAAAAAGCATTTTGGTATGATACAGAGTAGGAAGCACATACACATACAAGAAGGTGGCATGTTTGTGTCTAACACATGTCAGAAACCGACACTCGTAGGACACATGTCCAAGCATGTCCTACTATTTTCTTTTAAAAAAAGAATTTCAAATCCGGACATTTGAGAGGCACACATGTTTATTGTTTAGACATACATGAAACACATTACAAGTTTGAACAAAATAACTTAGGATCTAATATAAAAGAAAACAATGTAGATTAAAAACACTTCCCCCCCTCTGTTTTGTGTTTTATTCTTGAATCATTACACCCCACCTTGTCTTGGGTATGCACAATTATGAATGAATATAACCTAAATGTACAAAGAAAATAAATGTAACTTGAAGATATGAATGCTATGAGTAACATTTGCAAGGAAATGTGGTGAGAATGCTACCATTCACATGGCCAAAGCCGCACTAAAAGTGCAGGAGATCTAAAAAATTTGTTAGAGGAATGAACTATAGAGATCTCTATCCAAAGTGTTTACCAAGGATAGATACAGACACAGAATGGTTACTTATAAAAAGCCATCCAGTAGGTGAGGAAGCTTCCCAAATCAAATTTGCACAAAGACTGCTCCATTTGAGGTAAGAGATAAGAGATCACTGAAGTGCACTGGAGAATATCATTTTTACATGTCTATTAAGAATTTCAGTGTTACGTAAACCAAATACTATACAATACTGGTTGGTTGTGACAGAAATAAAATAAGAAAAAAGTCAAACCATAAAAACAAATCCTTTGAGCTAAATTTTTGAATAAGAACAAAACCGACAAAGAAACTTATTGGACTTCACTATTGTGAATAAACAACAAACAATTTGAGATTATGCACTTACAACTCTACGAATCAAGGGCTCCAGAACTGGCTCCATACAACGCTGGACTCTGTGCAAGCTCATCATCTCCATTACCACACTAAAAATAACAAACAAACTGTCAGAAAACCAAGAAAATAAAATTCTTGTTTTCACACTAGTTACTAATTGAAGAGACACACACCCACTACCACAAAAAAACATTTTTTACAAGTTTAAAAAGTAATGTCAAGGCAATTGAGAATACAGTAGATAACAACTTTTCAATAAATATGGCACACTCAACTGCACAGTTCTCTAACCACATAAACCTTGAACTCTTTAATGCCAACATATTTCTATTCAATATTTCAACATCAACAGTTACCTGAAACCCAATTAACTGAGAGCTACTTTATTCCATTTCTCTCCCCTTCTTTCTCCATAAATTCAGAAAGCCAGTTGGACCCTTTCAATAAAAAAGCAACCAAGTACTAAAATGGGGTTTGAGGAGGATAATAAGATGTAAGCAGTCTTACCCTAATTATGTAGAGAGACTAAAAAGGTTGTTTGGGGTGCACTGCAAAAGTGCACTTTTTTTTTTTTTAATCTTTTTATCTTTTTTTCGGTCATATTAACATCTCTTTACTTTTCTACACATTTTTTCGTAAAAATTTAAAAATATACTTATTTAAATGACATCCCAAACAACCCTTAATTTCGTGACTTGAATCTGCATACTAAAGGCAAGCTTTACCATTAAACTCTTTCATTAGCTAAAATTAAAAAGTCTAGCTTATTTTTGTCCTTTTTTGAACTTTTTTCAATTTTGATCTATCTATATTTTAACTTTTTTAGATCAGACGAATCTAAAAATTTAAAAAGTTGAATCAATTCTGAGAAACAATCATTAAAAATAAAAATAAATTAAATTATATATAATCTAATTACAAAAATTGGCTTAGTTTTGTCTTTTCTCGTCTATTAAAAAAAATCAAAATTTTAAAATTTTTAGCATTGTCTAGTTGAGAGTTGAGACAATCTAAAAATAAAGAAATTTAACTTACCCTTTTTTTTATGTTTTTTTTATTTACGCCTCCTAAAACTTCCTCAACCAGGCTTGGAAAGATCAGCAGAGCAAGTACAAGTATCAAGCATCAGTAGCATAAAAGAATGTTTTGTTTTCCTTGTCATTTAATATGTTTGCTCGCAGTAATTATCACCAAAAAAATATGGTCAAATATTAAAAAGAACAAATGCTCGATTAATCAGTAAATTAAATTATTTTATAAATTTTTTTAACCAAACTAAGGGGTAATTTTCCACACACTAATCCCTCTCAGTACACACACTTAATAAATATCTTCTCAATACAAATATTATAAAAATATAAATTCTCAATACACATCTCTATATTCTAATATTACCCTCATTTTCAATTTTAAAACCTTAAGGCTATGTTTGGTTTCGATTTTCATTTTTTTTTTTTTTTTGAAATTTTTTTGAAAAAAATATAAATTAATTTGACAAAAATAAATACCAATTTTGCCCCTAAAAAGATAAAACCATATTAAAATAAGAAGTTTTATTTATTTATATTTTTAAAACATATTCTAAAATTAAATTAAACGGAACTTAATTTTTTTTTTTTTTTTTCATTCATCTACTCCTCCTTTACTGTTGTTACCGTCACTTTCAACCGTCCATCGCCACTGCCACTGCCACTGCCATTGCCACTGCCACTATCACTGCCGCTACCGCTCCTATCTCATCCCTCTCCATCTTAGACCTCCACAATCAATCTTGAGTGATTTCCAGCGGGAGATTTGTTAGTGTATGGTTTATAACGGAAAATAATCACAAGTGGAGAGGAAAAGAGGTGATGGGAGAGGATGGCAGATGATAGTGGTGGCGTGGAGATAGCAGATGACTCTGGTGTTTTAGAATTAGGGTTTAGATAGAAGAAGAAGATAGTATTATGGTATTTTTATTGTAAGATAAAATTATATTATTGAAATTTTTTATCAAAGAGAATTGACGTATGGAAATAAGAATTACTCCAGGCCTTGTTTTTGACTAAAATAGTCAAAACAAAAATGCTTTAGACCTCTAATTTAGAGGTATCACTAGTGATGTGGCAGTGGGTCCTCCACTGCCACAGCCAATCATGTGTCTTGATTTTTTTTTGTTTTTTTTTTTTGCTTTTCCACCTCATTAGAGGTGGGTTTAGAGATGCCTTTTTAGAGGTCTCTAGCATTGTTGATAGTCAAAATAATAATAATAATAATAAACCAAAATATTCAATCTTATCCATTAATCAATTATTATTATTTATTTTTTTTCCTCACAACCATTTCTTCAATTAAAAAAAATTCACAAATCATTAAACATAACCTTTTTGTTTTTTTAATCTCATAAAATAGTTAAAAAGCCTAACTAAAATAGTCAAAGGCCCAAAAAAAATGCAAACAAAATACCCCCAAAAAAAAATTAAAAAAAACCTAAAATCTAATCTCATTTACTGGAGAATTTAAGGGCAACAAAATTTCAAGTGGGCAAAGCACATTTATCAAAAGTTTCAGTACATACAAATCACATCCAATCCAATTTTTACTCAAAAATTTTTCCATAAACGAAAACATGTGTGTATGAAAAAAGAGAGAGAGAGAGAGAGAGAGAAATCAGTAGAAGAGAGGAGAGAGGAGAAAGGAGAGAGGAGAGAGGAGAGTCTAACTTTCGGAGAGAAGGAAGCTTTCGACGCTTTTCGTCGGAACTTGTGGCCTCCGATCGAGCCTTGCCGTCGTCTTGCTGTCGCTTCTGCGACATTTCTGATACACAACACTACGCGGCGGTGCTGACGGTGGCGGTAGCGGCGGTGATGGTGATCATGTAGTAGTAATAGTTGTTGAGGAGGCAAAGGGACCAACATGCGGTGTCCAATATAGAGAACAAGATGGAAAGAAACCACTAGTATAGAGAGACAGAGATATATACTTTATATTATACAGAGATGCAAATCCGAGTCTCCATATATAATAGTAATAAATGGTAGTTAATGAGTAGGCTCCAAAATAAATAATAAAGAGTAACGTTATATGTATTAATTAATCTAAGGTCAAGTTTGGCAAGTTCAGAATAAGTTAAAAAGTCAAAAAGTTACTCAAAAAGTTAAAAAGTTAACATTATTTATCAAAAGTCAACAATTACGGCTGCACAACTCCCAATTCTAATTTTCTCTTACAAACTAATTTTTATAATTTTTTATTACACATTTTTTCATAAAAAGTCAAAAAATTAACCCAAACATCTATATTTTCTTTCTCAATTTTTTAGTTCAAAAATACAAAAAGTACACTTATTTAGGACACCCCAAACAAACCCTAAATATTAGTAAATTAACAGATGGTGTAGTATTATTGGTATAGTTTTTTATATTTGTAATTTGTATAATAAATGAGCCATGATAGAGATCCCCTCCATTCACCACATCTACAACCCCCCACAGACACGTGGCGGGTGGTGATTGGAAGAGTAGGAAAAAAAGAAAAAAGAAAAAGAAAATGTAATCAATGAGAGAGAGATGGGGTCAAAGGAGGTGGGGGAAAAGGGAGTATGAAACATTTTTGATAATAAATATAGTCAATAATAATATTATAACACTAATTGGTATACTAATATGTATACTAATTGGTGTATATAATATCACCGAATAATAAATAATAAATTAAAAAAAATTCTAATATACCCTTTTTAAAAAATGATATATTACATACATACTTAATTATGTCATTTTTTTCTTTTATTTAATTATGACATTACCCTCTTTTGGAAAGAGGTTAAATGCAATTTTTTTGACTTTTAATCTTTTATGGATCACATTCATTATGTTTGGTTTCACTTTTAAAAAAATACTTTTCAAAAAACTTTACTTTCTTATTTTTCGTATTTTTTATTTTTACTGATTTTTTTTAATATTTTAAGTAATTTTAAAAAATTTTAGACATACCTAACTTAGATGTATCTAAAAAGTAAAAAATTGTAAAAAAAACCTTTTAAAAATTCACTAAATACCCAAAATACAAAAAAAAAAAAACGAGAATTCAGTACATTTTTTTATATTTTTATGTATTTATTAATTTTTTAAAATATTTTTTTACAATTTTTTTACTTTTTAGATACATCTCAGTAAGGTGCATCTAAAAAGTAAAAAAAAAAATTTAAAATTTAAAAAATATTTACTAAAAACAAAAAAACACGAAAACCAAAAAACTTAATTTTCAAAAAACTTAATTCAAAAAACTCAAACCAAACACACTGATTACTTCTTTAATTTTTTACACATTTTTTTTCAAATTTTTTTTTTAAAAAAAATTCAAAAAGTTAGTTTTTAACCTACTTTCCAAAATAACCTATTATTTTAATTATGACTCATGAATTTTTTAGTTATGATATTTTTTTTCTTTTTTCTTTTAATTAAAACTTAAAACATTGAAATTAAGTCAATTTTTTTTAGTTATATAGTGACGATTGTGCCTCCCACACAGCAGTCACAATTGTGAAGTTATATGAGCCAATTTCGGAACCCGTTTTAATAATCTGAATCGTTCACTTTTTATAATATATCAAGTAGAATATATTGATAAAAACTCGAACTGATCGGATATCATTAACTATTTCATCGAATTGTATTTGTATATAAAAATAAATGACAAATGTAATTTGAATTACAAAATTGAATATAAATGTAAGTAGATGACAAGGTTAACGATATTTAATCAACTTTTTGTTTTGTTTTTGTTTTGAGTGAATGATATTTGATCAACTTGAGTATATTCTACTCTTTATATTTAAAAAATGAATAGTTCAAATTATCAAATCAGTCCAAAAATAGATCCATATGACTATAGCATGCCTGGTTTGGCATAACCTATATAATCCATCTTTTTATATTTTTTTCATCACATCACTTCTCTACTTTTTTGCACATCTTTTCGTAAAAAAATAAAAAGTATACTTTTTAGAACACTCCAAACCAACCCTAGTCACCCCATTTCCATTTCCTACAAAGAGGTATTTTAGAAAAATAGTTAGAAGTTAACTTTTAACTTTAACTCAAGTTTTTTGACTTTTTAAAAAGTCATTTAGAAAGTTAGTAAAAAATTATTTTTTCTCTTTTTTAGTTAATATTTATTTATATTATCACATCACATTTAAATGATCAAAATACCTCACCCAAAAAATTTTGCCCTAACCCACAAATGTAAATATAAAAAGTGTGATTATAATTTCATAGAAATCTTTTAAGCGCCTTTCCAAATAATTTTAATGCCCAAAAACCTAACTTTTAGCTTTTTTTAACAAATTTATTTTTTTCTTAAATGTCACAATGGGAGCATTAATTAGTATCACCATTAATGATGCGACAATGAATATATCACATTATTAGTGATTGCTTTAAAATATCACTTTAAATAGCCTCGATCATTGCCCATGGCACAAAAGTGTTGTTCCTATCTGCGAAAAACGTGATTTGGCTATCTGCGAATAAAACGTGATTTGGCTGCGTCTGCAACATGAACGTTTTTTTCACAGGAGGTGATGATGATGAGTTTTTACACTCCATTTGAATCTAAAGATGAAAGAAGAAGATAAATTATCAGTGTGTTCGTTAATAGATTTGGGTAAAAGAAAATACGTATGAAATATATAATATATATATATATTATTTATATTTTATCTTTCTTTTTGCTTTTTATTTTTAAGAATTATTTTGAAAAATAGTTTGCAAGTTGATTTTTTGACTTATTACAAATAAATGTATATAAAGTAGAGAAATAATGTGTCATATATAAGTTAATAAGATGACTTATAAGCTTGTTCCCAAGCAAAGCTCGTTGTCATTTGGTTATGACTTTTTTAATTGATATTTTTGAGTTAAGACTTTTTTAACTTGAGACTAAAAAATTTGTTTGGATTGATTTTCTTTTTTTTAACTTTTGTGAGAGAAAAAATAAAATGATTATAATTTGAATGTAACACTTTATCTTATTGATATATTTAACATATTTTATCTTTTATGCTTATTTAAGCAAAAAAAACTCTAGTCAAATGAAGTCTAAATCCGCCTCTAAACTCATTAATCAAACAAAACCTTACATCTTATGTTTGGGAAGTGGGTTTTGTGACTTTTTTTGGCTAAAATAGTCACAAAAATAAAATAAATTTTTTAGTCCAATAAGATAAAACATCTCATCTAACCTATAATTATTACATTTTTTCTCTCACAAAAAAAAACTAAAAAAACCAAAAGCCCTTTCCAAACCAAAATTTTTAACCCCAGGCTAAAATAGTCAAAAAAATCAAAAAAATTAACTTACTTCCCAAACGAAACCACAATTTCTCACTTTAAAAAGAAAGAAATAATTATACTTTTTTAACTTTTTGTTTGGACTTATTGTAATTAAAAAAATCATATATACCTTTTTATTTTATTTACTTTTTATTTAGATGATAGTTTAGGTATTATAATTTTTATAAGAAATAACACTTAAGTTTGGTACAATTTGTATATCTCACCATTATTTACTTTATTAAGGAGTTGTTTGAAATTTTCTTCTTTAGGTGTTGTTTGGCAAGTTGGTTTGTGGCTAAAATAGTCACAAAAGATAAAATAGGCTATTTTAGACATAACAAACAAAACATCATATTCAACCCATAATCATTACACTCTTCTCTCACAAAAAAAAAGTCAAAAAAGCTAAAAAGCCAAAAAGTCCTTCCCAAACCAAGCTTTTTAGCTCAGGCTAAATAGCCAAAAAAGGCAAAAAGTCAGCCCACTTCCCAAACGGAGGCTTAGTGCATTTTTAAAATTTTTAATGAAAAAATATATAAAAATAATATGACTCCAATAAATACACTTATCAAATAAAAATACTTATTTAGTACATTCCCAAACAATCTCTAAACATTCAACAAGTGATTTTTCTCATCAATCTCCATACAGCAATGCTAAGTATCATGATAAGTCTTTCATGAAAATGATCATGAAAGATTTGTGACCTTTAGATTACACTTAGAATAAAACACCACACACTAATCAAGGTAATCTAAAGATCACAAATCTTTCATGATCATTTTCATGAAAATTTTTTCATGATCCCTAACATTTCTCATTTCCATAAATATATTTAGAGAGAGAGAGAGAGAGACAGGTAGATAGAGGGAGCGGGAGTGGAGAGGTGTTTGGTACCATTTACGTTTTCAGTTTATATTTACAAAAATTTTATAAACTAGTTTTTATTTATTTATTGTTTATTTTTAGAAAAACATAAACTACAAACGCGTTTGGTAATTGACAAAATGTTTAAAAAAATTAAAAATATAAAAAAGAATGAGAAATGGCAAGTGGTGGCAAGTGGCGGCGGAAAGTGGTGGTGGAAAGTGGTGACGGTAGGTGGTGGGTAGCTGGTGGCGGGTAGGTGGGTAACGGTGGCGAGTGGTGGATGGTAGCGAGTGGGTGGTGGTGGCGGCGGTGGCGGGTGGTGGTGGTGAGTGGGTAGGTGACGGTGGTGGGTGGTAGCGAGTGGGTGGCGGTGGCGGGTAGTGGGTGGTGGTAGCGGCGGGTGGGTGGGTGATGGTGGATGGTGGCGGTGGCAAAAAATAAGTTATGCAACATATGTGATGTATAATCAAATGTGAGCACAGTAACTTTGACATCATACGACGAGGTTCAACCCACATTCAATTAAAAAGTTAAAAACACAGTGATTTTGCGCAACGTAATGTGACACGTATGTAAACATTGAATACAACAACAACACAATACAAATTCAAAAACAAATACAACAGAACGTAACACACACAAGACATAACAACATTGCAAATGTGGGTTAACATTACAACCTAAATGTAACGTCATTGGAGGCTAATGAAAATGTGTCAATGGATAGCTATAACAGATTCCATAAACCAGCAACATTTTCACATTCAATTAAAAAAAATTAAGAA